ATTTGTTTCTTTTTAATTTTTAAATTTTTTTTCTTTATTGATTTTTGAGAGAGGAAGGGAGAGGGAGAGAGAAATAGAAACATCTATGAGAGAGAACATCGATTGGCTGCCTTTTGCATGCCCCCCACTGGGGATCGGACCCACAACCTGGGCACGTGCCCTGACTGGGAATCGAACCAGCGACCTCTTGGTGCATGGGTGGATACTCAACCACTGAGCCCTGAGCCACACCAGCTGGGCTGTGATTAGTTTCTTATACACAAAAAGGGAGAGATTTTCTGTGCACATACAAGGGAATCTGAACGTATGTTCTCATATTGGTTTGCACCATGTGTGTATTTGGTGGAGATTGGTTTCCACCAGGACACAGAGTTTCCTGACATTACTAGGTAGCCGTGTGCTGTTACTAAGTGGGTGTGCCCTCGAGTGTGTGACCAGGCTCCCACTGGTGGACTCGTGGAGATTTCCAGTGTTTCGCTAATAAGGCAGTGTCCTCGATAACGTTGCGTTGCATGTAGTATTTCACATTCGTCCAAGTAGAGTGGAGGGTAAAGTTGTAGAGATGGGGCGGCTGGGAGAAAGGAGAACAAACCCTCTACGCGCGAATCTGCGAGAGCATTTTAGCAGTTTTGGTGAAAACTTTCACACTCAAATTTTTTATATTGGACATTTAACTCATTTAAATCCCAAGATTATTGGGCTGCTCTTTGGGAGGTGAGTGGATTCTAATATACTGGGGCGGCTAGAAAGGCAGGTGGCCGTTGCTTAGGAAGCTCTGTACTGGACGAAGGCAAAGGTGAAGAAGGGAAACACAAAAGCCAAGAACGACAAGGCGCCTGACGTGAATTTCTGGGCTGGCAGGAATTTGGTGCCCATGGTTTGGAAACAGCATTTTAATCCCCTCCACTGTCTAAAACCTAATTGCACACTTGCTTATTGTTTCTGAGCTGGGGGATGGCATTGGTATGATAAACCGAGTGGCAACAAATGTAACCTAGGTATTAGTGAAAGTCAAACCCCCTTGTGTTTGACTAGAACATCTAGAACAGCCTAGAACATCTGATAGGATTTTTCCGTGGTTGCTTTCATTGGTTACAGTGAGCTGAAAGGTTTCATCCCCCTTGGCGGGTCCACTGCCTCCCCTTCTCTGGGGCAGGTCTGAGTGGTGATGGCAGGAACAGGGACCTCCCAGTTTAGGGACAGGCGTCAATCCTGGAAAAACTCTTCCCAGATTTCCTAGATCACTTTTGTAGCCACGTGTTTTTGGCACCGTACCTTATTGGCAGTCATGGAAACATCAAACTACTCATAATCCTCAGTCAAGTAGAAAATACAAAATTGATAGCTGGGGGCACAAAGGCCATAATTGTCTCCGGTGAGGGGCCTTGGGAGCTTCCATTTCTGTGTCCGTGTTAGGGCCAGCACCGGAAACCCTGCCTACTCTTATTTATGCATTTATTTATTTGTTCGTTTATTTTTATTTCTCACCCAGGGATTTTTTTCCCCCATTAATCTTCAGATACAGTGAGAGAGAGAGAGAGAGAGAGAAACATCGATGTGAGAGAAACACATCGATTAGTTGATTAGTTGCCCCCTGTACAACCCTAACCAGGACCAGGGACTGAACTGTAACTGAGGTCCCTGCTCATGACCGGAATCGAGCCCGTGACCCTTTGGTCCTCCGGCCGGTACTTGAACCTCTGAGCCTAACCGGCCGGGGCAGACCTGCCTGCTTTCAATGTGACATCAAGCCTGAACATTTTCTAAAAGTAAATCTTAAACAGTGAAATGTATATTTCAACATAATTCAAAGCTTACTTAAGGTAACAAGGTATTTTAGCAAGTTATGATCGGCGAAGTTGACGTTAACTAGAAAGGAAATGAGTTTTTTAATATATAGTTCTTTTAATTTTTATTTTCCTCTTTAACATTATAGGCATATTTCCAACTTCAGTGTACTGTATGGTAAAATCCATATTTTTTCCCTAATATTTTTAACCTTACTTTTATGTCCTTACACGTTACTTCAAACGTTGAATGTCGCTGATGCGAGGAATAACCTTTTGAATTCTGATTATGGAATTGAATATTAAGTTCTCAAAAATCAGAAAATGCTTTATTGTTTGAAAAGACAGAGGTAGTGAAATCTGTTTTGACAAGCATATGTACATTAAAATTTCTTTCTTTTTCCCTAGGAAGTGTCAGTGTACCAAATTTTGTTGACTCTTCTAACTATGCTAAAGGTATTTCCAGAAGCTCTTCCAACTCTGTTTTTAGAGGTTTTTAATGGTGTTTTTATTACGTGGGCATGACTGATCCCGTCACTGTCCACTGAGGAGCGAGCTCAGTATCTAGCTTGGCTCGCAGAGGTGGACAGCCCTGCCGGTGGTGAAGGTGTCCACCCTGTACTCACTTGGCTGGTTTTTCTGGCAACGAGACCCCTTCCTCCAGGACTTACCTGCTTAGCATGACCTCAGGTGTGGCTGAAAGGGGCTTGCTAGGAATGGCAGTCGGTGCTCCCAACACTCGGGAGCTTCTGAGAGTTTCAGGAGCTCTGTGCAGGGAGCTGGGGACAAGGACCAAAGACCTGTTTTTCATTACATCCCACCTGTACACCAAGTTCCTACCACGCATTGTTAAAGAGACAGTTACTCTGACCCTTGTTGAAATGGTAACACGCTCTTCAGCACTACTACCCTGCGGGAGAGAGAGCAGGCCTGGTCCGCCCCGAGTACCTCAGGGACAATGGGGTTCAGGACTGATGGGCAGAAGGAGGGGCCAGTGGATGGGGAGTTACTAAGGGGGACAGCAGGGCCCACCGGGTTCTTCAGGGGTGACTGAAGCCCCAGGCCTGAAGCCTGCAGCTTTAAACACATTTCCCGTTCATCCTAGGGAGCCATGAAAGTCTTACTTTCTGTCTGATGGGACGTAAAAATAAAGCTGGGGGACACTGCAGTGACGTGCTGTATCGAGAGCCAGACAAACCTGGGGACAAATCCCACCTCGGCCATTTATTATAGCAAAGTAGCTTTTCTGAACTTCCTTTTGTCATCTCCCGGGAGGATTGAATTATGTCACAAATGTGTGACCCATTGAATTCTTAAACATTCCTAGCTCAGCAAGCAAAATGAATTCCTTTAGACAATGGATGCTTCTCTGGTACCTTCTCTAGGCTTAGGTATGCTTTTCTTTGAACTGCCAACTGAGTGTACATGGGCCAGGAAGCTTTGGCTAGAAATAAATGGTATTTATTCAAGGGTCTTAGGGTTTGCAAATCAAACACAACTCAGCGACACTCAGAGTAATCCTAAGAAGACAGAAAAGCGAAGAGTTCTTATACTAAAACGTACATTCTTGAGACGATTTCACTCATGCATTCTTGGCTTCTGGATTGGTCTGAGATGCTCATCTTAAAGGTGTCCAGTGGTTTGAATAATGCATGTCAAGAGGTCTGGATATCGGAACATTTTTTTCTAAGTCCTTCAGGGGACAATCAGAGGTTTATCTAGAGGATTTAGGTGTATATGTATATCTGTGTACATGTGTATATGTATATGTGTATATGTACATTTATATCTCAATCTAGATCTATAGGCATACCTGGAGAGGTCAAAAGTTTAAGTTCTCAGGTTCGTTAAAACAAGAGTAGAATAATTTCTTCGTGCCAAAGCATGCTCAGTGTTAGTCATGAGCAGCTCGGTGACTCCATTGTGTTCCTTCGCCTTTTCCTCGGAACTTTGGTGTCTGTGGTGAGTCCGCGGAGGCCCATGCACACCTTCATCTGGCACGCTCAAGCACCTACCTGTGCGCTCTCTTGCACAACCAAATGCTACGCGCAGTAACGCCAGGCAGCCAGGCTTACGTTTTCCAAGACCTGGGACGTGCACATAGTAGGTGCTGAGTAGCAGATGTTGGCTGAATGAAGAAACTGATGTCACCTGGGAGAAATTAAGTTCTGGTGGGAGGGCATCGTAGTCCCTGAGGCTGCTGTAGCAGAACACCATACGCCGTGGCCGGTAAACAACAGGAAGTTACTACTCACAGACCTGGAAGCTGGCGGTCCGCACGCGCACACCTGCGGACTTGGTGTCGGGTGAGGGCCCACCTCCTGGTTCAGAGATGAGTCTTCCAGCTGTGTCCCACAGGGTGTCTCTTTTATAAGGGCACCAACTTCATTCATGAAGGCTCCACTCTCATGACCCAATCACCTCCCAAAGGTCCCATCTCCTAATCCCATCAAATGGGAGGGTAGGATCTCAGTGTAGGAATTGGGGTGAGGACACACACACCGTCCGCAGCAGAGTTGTGAGTGTCAGGGTGGGAGTGAGCGATTCTCCTCCTCCCGCCCCCCTGAGGAAGGGACAGAGGGGCGTAGAGAGTGGCATTTCATGTGGTTGAATCCTGGAGGGGATACGTGAGAAATGGAAATCATCCAGATGACACCCCAGGTGGAGAGAAGAGTCTTAGCAAGGACAGAGCCCGCAGCTGATGTTGTCGCTGGCGAGGAGGGAAGATCTGGTTGGGGAGGGCACCTGACAGAGGTGGTCTGGGGCTTGTAGTGGCACCTGAAGACTCGATTCTTAGTGGGATGAGCCTTGGAGAGCCAGGCAGGGTGGTGTCTGAGGATGTTGCACTTTGTAACCCTGAATGAGAAGCTTTTCTGGCTCCTCTTTGCTATTTGATCATCCTTTTTCTAGGATTCCAGAAGGAATAAATTTCCCAAGAAACTTAATTTTGATGTGTGTGTTAGTTTGTTAGCTTTTATTAACGTGGGCAATTGAGATTTGACTCAGTAGAGCCATGGTGTATGCATTCCCCCCCCACGGTACTGGTGATGAATTATTGATCAAATGGGAACGATAGCATTGCTTGGAAACACTGTAGCAGTTTAGCAGGTCCCCATTTCTGTATTTGATGTCACGCCGAGTAGAGCTAACGAGAACTCCCGGCCTCTGGAGTTCTAAGTCATACATTTCATGGTTATCTTTTTTCCTCCACAGAAATAGAAAAGTTTCAAAAAGGAGAAGGAAAAGACGAAGAAAAGTACATTGATGTGGTGATTAATAAGAACATGAAGCTGGGACAGAAAGTGCTAATTCCTGTAAAACAGTTCCCTAAGGTAAGACGGTCAGGTCCCCTGCAGGCGCGCTGGGCTCCACCGCAGGGCCAGGTGCTCCTTTCCGTGTGTCCGATTGTCCTCGAGGTGTGTTCCCTGAGCACAGCCCACACCCCAACACACACACTTTTAAAGTGAGTAAAAACTTATTTAGTGACTCTGTCTTTACTGGTTGTCTTTAGTTGGAGGTGTGGAGCCCTAAAAGTGAGCCTCATGAGGCATCCTAGCAATGTGACTTTGGACAATTTATTTAACTTCTTTCTACTTTAGTTTCTTTATTTGTAAAATGAGGTTACGTTAAGAATGAAATGAGATTATCCGCGTTAAATGCTTAGCACAGGGTCTAGCACATTCATGTTCAAAATACTGTTTATTCTAGTTATCTATTCTACAAAAATGTTCTATTTTTCATTCATTGCAAGTATTATTTTGTGCTATTGAGCACAATTATAATAGGCGCTTTGAAATCTCTACCCAATTCTAAAATCTTGGTTATCTTAGATTTGGCCTGAATTGATACCCTTTTACCTTGTTTTTCTTTTTTCTTTGTTTTGAAAGTCCATGCACTTGATTCATGCATGCTGTGATATACCTCAGTAGTTATCTCTTTAGATTGCTGAATAATAATCCACTGCCTGAGTATAACACAATTTATCCATTTGCCTGGACGGTTTTCGGTGTGGGTTATTATAAATTGCCATGAACATTTTTATACGAATCATTTTGTGACCTTATGTTTTCATTCTTTCTTTCTTTTGAGTAAATACCTAGGAATTTAACTGCTGTGCATTTAGTTTTTCAAGAAATTGCCATACTTTTCCCCCAGAGTGGCCGTACCTTGTGGCAGTTCCAGGGACAGTGCAAGCCGTGGTTGCCCCGTGTCTTCACCAACTTTTGATGTTATCAATCTCTTAAATTTTAGCCATTCTGCTAGTGTATTATATAGTGGTATTTTCTTGTGGTGTTAATCTGCACTTTCCTGATTGATGATTTTGTGTTCTTTTCCATGTAGTTATTGTCGTTCATTTATCTCCCATTGTGAAGTGTCTTTTTAGATTTTTTTGTTTATTGCTAAATGGGATATATGTCTTCTATTCATTCAATTGTAGGAACTTTTTCATATATCCTGGACACATGTTTTGTTAGGTATATATTTTGTGAATATTTGGATCAGTCTATGGCTTGCCTATGATTTTCTAATTAGAGCCTCGTGATAAGCAGATGTTTTTAATTTTGGTGACATCTGATGTATCAGGTTTTTCTTTTTTTATTATTACCGTTTACCAATTAAGATATTTTTGCCAAACTCAAGAAAATTATGAAATCCTTTATTTAATATAAAGATAATGTCCTGTATTTCCTCCAAATACTGTATCATTGTAGCTTTTACTTTTAGGTCTATGATGCCTCTGAAATTAATTTTTGTGTATAGTGTGCGATAGAGGGTCAAAATTCATTTTTTCTTCATACAGATATTCAGTTTTCCAGTACCATTTGTCGAAAGATGTTTCCTTCCCACTGCATCTTAGATGAAAATTATATGACTATGGAAGTGAGGGTCTATTTTTGTACTTTCTCTCTATGGATCCTAATGCTGCTACCATACTCTTTTCATTTTTATAGTAAGACATCAAGTTACGTAATGTAGTACCTTCAACTTTGTCTTTCCTCTCCGGATTTCTTGGATATAGTTCCTTTGCAATCCTATATAAATTAAAGAATTATTTTATTAATTTTCTCAAAACATTCTGCAGGGGTTATGATTACTGTTGCATTGAATCTGTTGATCAATTTAGGGAGATTTGACACTTAACATTATTGAGACTTTTCTTTCTTGAACATGGTATATCTTTCCATTTGTTTAGATTTTTAATTTCTATCAGCAGTATTTTATACTTTTCAGGATAAAGGGCTTATTTGTCTTTTGTCAGACTTATTCCTAAATATTTTATGTTTTGACACTTGTAAAATGAATATTTAAAATTATTATTTTTTTGCTTCGAATATAAAACTTTGTATATTAACCTTGTATTTTGCTACCTTGCTAAATTCACTTGTTAGTTTTCTAGTAAGTTATTTTTATCATTCTTTAAGATATGTTATGTATATAATATCATCTGTATAAAAAAGCTTCTTTTCCAATTTGTATGCTTTTTATTTATTTAGCTTGCTTTATTGTGTTGGTTAGTATCTCTAGTATAATGTGTGAAGACAAGTGGGAAGGTTAGACATTTTTTCCCTTGGTCCCAATCAATGTAGGAAGCATTCAGTATTTTATCACTAAGAATGGTAACAGCCATAGGATTTTTTTGGTTGCTGCCCTTTATTAGGTAGAGATAGATCCCTTGATTTGTCTTTCAGTTTTGCGGAGAGATTTGATCCTGACTGGGTGGTGCATATTATTGAATGCTATTTTTGCATTTATTGCAGTGAACACAGGATACTACTCCTTTTTACTGTTAACATAGTGAATTTTATCGATTGATTTGTCTAAATTAAACCAATTTTGCATTCCTGGGTTAAACCCTACTTGGTAATGACATAGTATTCTTTTATATATTGCCAGATGTATCCATGTTCATAAGTGCTACTGGCCTGTAATTTTTAATATAGTATCTTTGTCAGATTTTGGTATTAGGGTTATACAGAGTGTCCCAAAAAAGTGTGTATAGGCTATCCATAGATACTATCACATTTTGAAAATGAAACGTATTTTAATAAACACTAGCTTTATAATTATTCAAAGTGTATATACATTTTTTTGGGACACCCTATATGTGATTTCATAAAGTAAGTGGAGAGCATTTTCCCCCCTAAGAATGTGTGTCAGTTTGGTGCTATTTCTTTCTCAATATTTGATAGAACTCACCAGTGAAGCTTTCTGGGCCTGGAGTTTGATGATGAGTTTAGTGTCTTCAATTGACATGTCACTAATGAGATTTTCTGTTTCATCTTTTTGTGAATTTTTTTGTGTGTGTTTTTCAAAGGACTTGTACATGTTCATTATAATATTTTAGCTACTGCTTCTTCAAATACTTTTTTTAAGCTTTCTCTTCCCACTTTTTGAGACTTCAGTACATGTATGTTCAACCTTTTGATATTCTCAAAAAGGTTTTGGTGGCCATAGTCACTTTTGTTATTAGTTTTTTTCCCCTTTAATCTTTAGATTGGATAATTTGTACTGCTGTATCTTTTATTGTTGTTGTTATTAATCATCAACTGAGGATATTTTTTCATTGCCATTTTTTAGATAGAGTGGAAGGGAGGGAGTTAGGGAAAGAGAGAGAAAGAGAAAACTTTATTGTGTGAGAGACACATCGATTGGTTGCTTCCCATATGACCTAGATACGTGCCCTTGATAAGGAATCAAACCTGCGACCCTTTGATTCTCGGCCTATGCTCTAGCCATTGAGCCAAACTGGCCAGGGCTGTACTACTGTATCTTTTTTTTTTTTTTTTTAAGAGAGGAAGGGAGAGGGAGAGAGAGATAAAAATATCGATGAGAGAGAACATCGATTGGCCGCCTCCTACATGCCCCCCACTGGGGATTTAGCCCACAATTTGGGCATGTGTCCTGACTGGGAATCCAACCGGCAACCTCTCAGTACATGGGTCAATGCTCAACCAGTGAGCCAAACTGGCCAGGGCTGTCCTCCTGTATCTTAAAATCATTTTTCTTTCTTATGTTATTGTTATAGTCTGTTCAGCTCATCTGATTATAATGTCAGGTATGGTAATGATCTGTTTCAGAATTTATATTTGATTCATGGATAAATATATGTATTTAAAAATAAATTTTTCTCTCTGATGGGATTTTCTATTTTTTTTTTTTAAATTCACTGCAGGTGTTATATTATGTCATTGAGCACAGTAAAAATAGATGCTTTAAGCTTCTTTCTAATTCTAAAATCTTTGTCACCGTAGATTGGACTTGAATCGATCATCTTTTATCTTAAAAATGTGTCACATTGCCCCAGTATTTTTATGCTGAGTCCTTTGGGGTTGTATACTGGACATTGTGAGTGGCGTATTGTGGGAACTCTGCATCCCATTCTCTTTCCTTGAGGAGTGTTGATATTTGTGGCTTCAGACCGCAGACTGTGCCTTTCGGGTCCCAGGACTGCAGGTCTGAGTTCAGCTTGTTTCTCATTTTGACCTTTGCGTTTACTCTTTGGCGTACGTGACCTGGGGGTCAGCCTGAGAGGCTGGCAGATTTTATCCACAAAAATCTGGGTCTCCGCAGCTCTAACTCAGTCTTTTCTAGAATTCCTCCCTCATGTTCAGCACTGTGGGTGGTTGCCTCTGATGCTGCTGTTCAGGCCCAAACTCTGAAGTCAGGGAGTTTGCCCAGGTCCTTTCTTCCTTCCTCGTATGACCCCCTTCCGGAACCTCTGGCCTCCGTCCTTCTCCGCGGGCTCCAGAGAGCTGGTTTCTATATATTTTTCAGAGTTTCATCAGAGTTCATAGTTACCATCTATAGACCAAGGACCACTTGGATATTTATAACATCATTTACGGGCCATATGAACTTACCAACTTAGACATTAGCCTGCTGTGTTAGGTCAGGCTCAATTGGTGAAGCCGGTGATGTAGCTGGTGTTGCTTTTGTGGGCCTTACTCGGTCCACGGGCCAGACGTTTTCACCCCTGCTGGAGACGGTCAGCCTGGTAGGGCTTAGTCATGCTTCCAGAACATTCTTAGTACCCGGAAAACTATGTTGTGAACTTTTCATGCAGTCATTACGAAACGAAGCATGGCTCATTTAGTAACAAATGTTAAAAAGATAAGGATGCTTCCTATCCTTGTGTGCAACAGAAAGATAAACCTACGGTGTACCTTTTGTTGTTATAACTGTCTTCAGACAGCTCGTTGCCTAGTAGGTGGTCAGTCTGTAATGAATACTCTGCTGTGTATGGGCCAGAGCATGAAATGAAGTTTGTGGAATAAAAACCTCAGATATCGTTGCTCAGAGTCGGCTTCGATGCGCGTAGGGGAAGACAGGT